CGCGAACGCCGCCGCCGCCGCCGACGCGAGGAGCAGCAGCGACGCCGGCGCCATGCTATCGGACCAAGGGGGCTGCCATCGATCGATGAAAATTATTTTGGGCGTGCGAATCGAGGGGGGGGGTCTTTTTGCGACGCGTACGCGCGCCTAGCAGGAGGAGACCGCGGTGGCCATCGAGCGCGAGCAGAAGAAGGCGCGGCACCAGCAGATCAGAGTGAGACTGCGTTACGGGTATCCTAGGCGTATCCTGGCTCCTCTGCTCCCCCGCCGCGGCCGGAAAGGCGGAGCGGGGACTGCGAAGCCAGGCCGGGGAATGAGAGTGTGCACGCCGCAGCGTGCAGGGAGGTGGGCGGGTGCCACGGCACCGCGCCGGGGAGGTGCGGCGTGCCCTGCGGGCACGCCGTGTTGAGCCTGAAGAGCGGGAACCGGCGTAGAACCCCGCAGGGTTGTCGCTGTTCCGGGCGTAGGGAGGAGGACCGCCGGCGGGTTCTGGGTCCGCGACTTGCGCGCGGACCCGCTCTTGACCATGCGAGAGATCTTGCAGACGGCGCAGTCGACGGTACCGTCGACTTTGATGCGCAGCCCCTTGACCGTGTCGCGGAAGCGGTCCTGGGCCGGGTGCCCAATCGCAGCGTGGACGACGTTCGCGTCCCGGCCGAGGCCGCGCGCCATCAACGACAGCATCGTCGTCCCGTCCGCGCCGAACCCGCCCTTGAGGTGGAAGTTCACTGTTTTCACCGCACTCACGACGGTGTGCATGACGACCTCGCAGGCCAACCCCTCGGGGAAGCCGCGCTAAACACTTACTAATCGACGGACCAAGTTGCAGTGAAATGTATCGCTCGGCTGAAACGTCGTCTTTCGCTCGGGACGATGTGGTTGGCCGGCGGCGCGGGGCTGCGTCCGGGGTTCGGGGGGCGCGAACATGCTACTCCCTCGCGGCTGCCGGCCGGAATCGGGGCGACGAGAGCGGGGTCCGCTTGGAGTAGCATGTTCGAGCACCCAGAACCTCGCCGCGGGGACCGCCTTGCGCGCGAGGGAGAGAGAGGGGAAAATGATCTCAGCTTCTGCGTGTTCCCGAGACGAGCGGGCTGAAGTTTTGGAATGCCCGACCCCGGATTCCCACTGCGAAGTGTGCTCAGTTTCTCTCCCCCTGGCCTGGAACATGCCAAACCCAGCATCAGAGATCGTGCGACCATCATGCGACGACGTCCAACCACTTCGAAAGTGGTTCAACAAGTTAAAGTTGCGTTCCGGCCGACGATTAGTAAGTGCTAAAGGACAACTTGTTGAACGCGTCTAACTCGTTAAACCCGGCGAGTCACATTGCTAAATGGTCACCTCCCCCCCCCCCCCGCGCCCCGGGAAGGTGCTTGGAGTCTTACGAGCCCCCGCCGCGGCGCGGCGGGGGCTCCTACTTTCGGCGGAGGAAGCCCGGCATCCCCCTCCGCCCGGGCGGCTCGCCGCCGCCGGGGGCCGGCGGCGGCGCCTTGGGCAGGAGCGGCTTGATGTCGACGGGCGCCTTGACGACGCGCTGGACGAAGGTCGACGCGATGCCCGTCGCGAGCACCGTGATGCTCAGCTCGTCCTCCATGCCGTCCTGGACGAGCGCGCCGAAGATGATGTTCGCGTCGGCGTCGACGTTCTCGTAGATGATCTGCGCCGCGCGGTCCACCTCCGCGAGGGTCATCGTCGGCCCGCCGATGATGTTGAAGACGATGCCCTTGGCGTTGAGCACGGGCACCTCGAGGAGCGGGCTCGAGATGGCCGCGACGGCCGCGTCCTCGGCGCGCGTCGGCCCCCGGCCCGTGCCGATGCCGATGAGCGCCGCGCCCGCGTCCTTCATGACGGCGCGCACGTCGGCGAAGTCGACGTTGATGAGGCCCGGCTTCACGATGATCTCGGAGATGCCCACGATGCCCTGGCGGAGCACGTCGTCCGCGACGAGGAACGCGTCCGCGAGCGGCGCGTTCGCGGGCACGATGCTCAGCAGCTTGTCGTTGGACACGACGATGAGCGTGTCCACCTCGCCCTCGAGCCGCTCGATGGCCTCGATGGCCTGGCGCGACCGCTTGCGGCCCTCGAAGCCGAAGGGCTTCGTGACGACGCCGACGGTGAGCGCGCCGCGGCCCCGCGCCGCGTTCGCGACGACCGCCGCGGCCCCGCTGCCCGTGCCGCCGCCCATGCCCGCCGTGATGAAGACGAGGTCCGCGCCCGCCACCATGGCCTCGATGTCGTCGCGCGACTCGTCCGCGGCCGCGCGCCCGACGCTCGGCTCGCCGCCCGCGCCCAACCCGCGCGTGAGCACCTTGCCGATGTGCAGGCCCGACGTGCCGCGCCGCGTGCCCGCCAGCGCCTGGGCGTCCGTGTTCACGACCCAGAACTCGACGCCCCGGATGCTCGACTCGACCATGCGGTTCACGGCGTTGGAGCCGCCGCCGCCGACGCCGATGACCTTGATGCTGCAGGGGCGCAGCTCCGGCGCGAGGCCGCCCAGGGCCATGGTCGGCGGCCCCGTTCGTCGCGGCGCGCGCCGGGCGGCGCGGCGCGGCGCCTTTTTTTGCAGGGCCGCCGCGGCGGCGGCGAGCGCCAGGAAGGCGGCTTGGGCGCGCGCCATGCCTCTCGCCTAGGCGCCTGTTGCAGTCGAGCGGAATTTGAGCAAAACTTCCACAGGCGAGCGGCTGGGTTTACCGTCGCCGTGGCGCCGGCGGCACCCCTACGTGCGCGGCGGCGTGATCAGAAGGGCGCAGCCTAGGTCGGGACGCGCGTGCGTTCCCGAGAGAGGCGCCCAGGTCGTTTGGGACGCGAGATGGGCTGCCTTCCTAGGCGTAGAGGGAGGCAGCGTCGGCGGAATCACTCGGTGGCCCGACGGGTGGCCCGCGGCGCCAGCGGAACTCGGGCCGCAGTGCAGCTTCGCGGCGCCCGGCTGCTCTCCTCGCAGGCCGCCATCAGCCAATCGCTGCGGAGGTTGGGTCGATTTCTCCAGTGGCGATGGCTCCTGGCCATCGACGAGGGTCGGCGACGACGATGGCCCTGCTCGCGCTCCTCGCCGCGTCGGCGTCGGTCGCGTTCGGCTCGAAGATCGAGACCCTGAGCTTCGAGGCCCCCTTCGAGGAGGTGAACGCCAACGGCGAGCGCGTCGTGGGCAAGTCCTGGCGCGCGAGCGGCAGCGCGGCGGTCCACAGCAACTTCGTGCGGCTCACGCCGGACCGCCAGTCGAAGAAGGGCGCCGTCTGGGCGTCGACGTCCGTCGGCGTCTCCGAGCTGAGCGCGACGCTCAAGTTCCGCATCAGCGGCCAGGGCAAGAAGTACTTCGGCGACGGCATGGCGCTCTGGCTCACGGACTCGCGGTCCTACCGCGCGGGCGACTTCCACGGGTCGACGGAGAAGTTCAAGGGCCTGGGCATCATCTTCGACACCTTCAAGAACGCCGAGCTGCTGAGCCTCCACAAGGACGTCACGATCGTCGTCAACGAGGGCAAGGGCGACGTCCAGCGTCGAGCGACAGGAGTGTTTTTTCGCGTGAATTTCGCCTGAAGATGTGAAGAAATCCGACCCCGTCGCACTTGGTAGGCGACGTCGAGCAGATGCTCGCCGACGCGCGGGGCTGCGCGGGCAACATCCGCTACCACGAGGACCGCGGCGACTTCTCCGTGGCGTCGGCGTCCCGCGCGAAGCTGGTGATCACGCCCGACGACCCCGGCGCGGGCAAGGCGTCGCCGCTGTCGCTCGTCGTCCAGCTCGACGAGGCGAACGGCGGCGCGTTCGCGGACTGCGCGGCCTTTTCGCTCCCGCCGGCGCTGAACGCCGGCTGGCTGAGCCGCGCCTACCTCGGCGTGTCGGCGTCGACGGGCCAGCTCGCGGACAACCACGACGTGCTCGAGCTCGAGGCGTTCAGCAGCCAGACGGCGCACGTCGAGGCCGAGGCGGCCGAGGCGGAGGAGAAGTACTTCGAGCCCGGCGAGGGCGTGAGCCCCGAGCGCTTCGACCGCATCGAGACGCAGCTCGACGCGCTCGTGGCCCAGCTCGAGCACCTCCAGCACCACCTCGAGCACGAGATGGTCGCGGTCGACGACCACGTCCGCGCGACGATCGACAAGCTGGCCAAGCAGGAGGAGGCGAGCGAGCAGCGCATCGACGCGCTCGAGGCCAAGGTCGTGTCGAACGTCGAGGACTCGCTGACGCAGCGCATCGCGACGCTCGAGCAGGCCATGCGGGACGCGGTGCAGAAGCGGATCTCCACGGTGGAGAACCGCTACATGTCCAAGCTCGGCGACGTCGTCTCGGACAAGATCGACAACGCGGGCCGCGGCTGGACCTGGCCCTTCCTCTTCCTCATCGTCGTCGACGTCATCGCCTTCGTCCTCGTGCGCAACTGGTACGTCAAGTTCAAGAAGTCCCACCTTCTCTAGCCGGGCCCGCCCTAACCTGACCCTGCTGCTCTACCCCGCTACATGGCGCGCATCTCGGCCAGGGTCTTCGTCGCCTTCTCGAGGGCGGCGACGGACGTCGTCAGGTCGGCGATCTGGCCCTGGACGGCCTCGCAGACGCCCATGAGCGCGTCGACGGTCTCGTCCTTGTTGAGCTGCGCGAGGACGAAGGGCGTCATCTCGCCCGTCGTCGCGTCGACGAGCTTGAGCGTCACGGCCTTGGGCACGAGGTCCGCGAAGGCCTTCTTGACGATGGCGAAGTAGGACTCGCAGAGGTCGCAGATGACCTCGACCTCGACCTTTTCTTTCATACCGAGGCCCGCGGTGAACGCGTGGAGCCGCGCGCGGCGGCTCGCGGCCGCGCCGGCGTCCGCGAGGCCCGAGGGGCTCACGGCGACGGCCGGCGCCACGGGGCCGACCTCGCTCACCATCATCGCGCGCATCTGCTCGACCTCGCCCGGCGACAGGACCTTCTTCGCGCCCGGCGCGCCGTCGTCGGCGCCGTCGGCGTGACCGCGCGCGCCGCCGAGCCAGGAGCGCTTCTCCGGCGCCTTGGGGATGGGCGGCGGGCCGCGCGGCGGCGGGGCCTTGGCCATGGGGTTCGACCCGGAGACGGACCGCGGCGACTCCGGCGGCGCGGCCTTGGCGCGCCGCTCCTCGTCGCGGAGCAGGTCCCGCTCCTTCCGCGCGAGGAGGGGCCCGACGCCGTCGCGCCCGACGAAGTCCGGGTGCGTGATGTTGATGCGCGCGAGCTCCATGTCCACGAGCGTCCGCAGCGTCGCGTCCGCCGCGTCGAGCGCGTCCCGGAGCTTGCCGTTCACGATTTCGGCGAGCCCGCCCCGGAGCGCGGGGAACACGGCGATGCCCTCGAAGTCGCCGGCGACGTCGACGAGCTTGACGAGCTCCGCGTGCACGAGCTCGACGCACCGCGTCGCCGGCCGCGCGAGGCGCCGGACGTTGCGCTGGACGAGCTGCACGAAGGCCTGGTCCGGCGTGAAGAGGCCGCCGCCGAGGCCGTGCACGTTCCGCACGAGCGTCTGCACCTCGCCGGGGCTCAGGTCGTCGAGCACGGCCACGCGGTCGACCTCGGCGGCGAAGACGTCGCGGAAGACGGCCTCGATGCGCGCGCCGCCGCGGAGCTCGTCCGTCGCGTGCGCGCCGCCGCCGTGCGGGAGCGGCGCGCCCGAGATGAGCGCCGCGTAGCGGTCGCAGAAGTGGAGGAGCGCCTCCGTGAGCTTGCGCCGCTTCGCGTCGGGCGTCTGGTCGCCGAAGTCGCTGAGCTTCTTCCTCTTCGCGGCCAGCGACTCCGCGAGCTCGCGCTCGAGCGTCGGCAGCGACACGCGGATGTGCTGCACGAGGAGCTCGCTGCAGCGCGACACGAGGTGGGCCGTGCCGAGCGTCGGCGCGAGGTCGCGGTACGCGTCGGACTTGGCGAAGTAGTCGCGCTCGAAGGCCCGCGCGTCGTGGATCGACTTCTTCTCGTTGATGTCCGCCTGCGACCGGTTGACGACGCCGACGTAGCCGAGCTTGAGCCGGGGCACGTCGCCGGACGCGCCCGTGAAGACGTCGCGCGCCGACGTGCCCCGGTCCATGAGGTCGAGCTTCGTGAGCACGCCGAGCGTGCCTGTGTGGACACCAAATCTTCGACCCGACTTCAACGTGAGCGTAGTCGAATGTTTTGACGCAAGCGCTTCGGCTGGGCTTCGAGAACTCGACGAGAGCGATCGATCCGTCCAAAAATCAGCCGAATCGACTTCGATGTGACCGAGCTAGAGAATGCTCTCAAGTTTGGTCAGGACCACCCAAACCAGTGGTTGGTTTCCACACGGGAGCGCGCGGTCGCCCGTCGGGTCCACGGACCGCGCGATCTGGAGCGCGTCGCTGTTCGCGAGGTCCGCGTTCGCGGGCGTCACGGCGAGGATGATGCACGTCGGTTTCACGACGTAGCGCAGGATCATCTCCTGGATCTGGTCCCCGATGTCGTCGGGCTGGTCGCCCACGGGCACCTTCGTCGAGCCCGGCAGGTCGATGAGCGTGAGGTTCAGCACGTGCGGGCTCGACACCTTGAGGTGGATGGCGCGCCCGTCGAGGCCCTTGTTCGACCCGCAGACGCGCGCCGTGTCCGCGTCGATCTCCTCGCGGATGGCCTCGAAGTCGTAGAACTTCTTGCCCGGCGCGTGGAGGAACTCGCCCCACTCGTCGGGACCGTTCACGAGCTGCAGCACGAGCGGCCGCCGCGTGACGATGCCGCTGCCCCGCGGGAGGAAGGACTTGCCCACGATGTTCTCGAGCACGCTCGACTTGCCCGAGCTCTGGCCGCCGACGACGGCGATCTGGGGCAGGCTGATCTCGTTGGCGCTCGACGACAGGGCCAGCGCGTCCTGCAGCTTGTTCACGAGCGGGATGAGGTGCTCCATGTCCGCGTTGGCCACGGACCCGTCGTCGGCGCGCGACGTCCGCGACGGGAGCGGCGGCGGCGGCGGCGACCGCGACCGCGGCGGCGGCGGGCGGGGCGGCGCGGCCATCGAGGGCTTCTCACCCGCCCGGGCGGGGGAGCGGGCTGCCCGCAGAGCGAAGATATGGGTGCGTTGAGCTCGGCACAACGGCACCTGCGTTGCGTTTTTGCGCCATGGACGCGCTCTCCCGCCGACTGCCGGACGTCCTCTGGCAGCACGCCATAGCGTACGGCGCGCTCGACGACGTGCGCCACGCGGCCTTGGCGTGCAAGGACCTCAAGGCCGCGGCCTACGCGTGCGCCTTCTGGGAGACCTTTAGCGCCGCGACGCTCAGCGGCTGCCCCGCCTGCGCCGCGGCGCGGGACGGCGGCGACGTCGGCCCGCTCTGCGCGTCGCCGCACTGCGCGCGGTGGCGCCGGGTCTGCGCCGCGGACCCGGGCCGCTGGCGCGCGGCCTGGCGGAGCCTCGCGGCCACGGGCCGCCTCGCGCGGCTCCGGAGCGTCGACCTCCGCGACGCGCGCGTCGACGCGGTGCGCCCGGGCGGCGCCGTGGAGCGGGTCCTCTACCGCGCGGACCTGAGCGACGCCGGCGCCGGCGCGCCGCGCGCGGCCGCCGCGGTCCGCGCCGTCGCGTCGTTCGCGGCGTGCCCCCGCCTCGCGTCGCTCCGCGTCGTCGTCCTCGAGGCGCCCGAGGCCACGGAGGCGGAACTCCTGCGCGCCCTCGCGCGCGTCGCGCGCGCGACCCCCGCAGGCGTCGACGACGCGAAGCTCAAGGTCGTGCCCCGCGGCGACGGCGACGGCGCGAGCGCCGAGCGCGCGGCGCTGCTCGACGCGGTCGCCGAGAGCTGGGCGCCGTCCCTGCGGCGGCTGGAGCTGAACGTCGACGGCGGCGACGCGGTCCGCGCCCGCGCCCGCACCGGCGCGCGCGCGCGCGCCCGAGGACCGCCGCCCCCAGGTCGCCGCGGCGCTCGGCCGCCTGCTGCGGGCGTGCGCGCCAGGGCGGCAAAAGAGAGCGACATTCCCAACTTCAAAGGCTCCGATCTCGGCCGTTTTCCACTCGTTTTGGCTGTTTTTTGGACGTGCGATCATCTCTCGGAACGGTCTCGAAGCGTGGATGCTTTCTCCGGAACGCGCGCGCGCGGAACACTCACGTTGAAGCGACGTTGAATCACCCTCGTGCTGCCCAGGTGCGCGCGGCTCGAGGACCTGACGCTGCACGCGACGTCGGCCGCCGCCGCGCGGCGCGCGGCCGCGGCGCTCGCGGACGGGGCCCTGCCGCCGTCGCTCGCGGCGCTCCGCCTCCCCGTCGCCGACGCGGACGCGCGGGTCCCGCTCGCCCTCGCGGCCGGGGTCGCGCGCCTCCGCGTCGTCCCGCTCTGCGGCGGCGACCGGCGGCCGCGGGACTACATGCCGTGGACGGCGCGCGACGCCCTCGAGCGGGCCGTCGCGCGCGTCGCCGTGTGGAAATCGACCAGCGGAACGCCCCGTCCAGCAAAAACGTCGAACCTCTCTAGCTCGATCACATCGAAGTCGATTCGGCTGATTTTTGGACGGATCGATTGCTCTCGTCGAGTTCTCGAAGCACAGCCGAAGAGCTTGCATCGAAACTGTCGCATGCGCGCACGTTGAAGTGGGGTTGAAGATTTGAGTTCCACGCAGGTGCGACGTCGCGGCCGCGCATCCCCACTGCGACGCCGCGTGCTGCGACGGGCAGGACAAGAGTGATTCAACGTCGCTTCAACGTGAGTGTTCCGCGCGCGCGCGTTCCGGAAAAATCATCCACGCTTCGAGACCGTTCCGAGAGATGATCGCTCGTCCAAAAATCAGCCGAAACGAGCGGAAATCGACCGAGAAAGGAGCCTTTGAAGTTGGGAATTTCGCACCCTTTTCCTGCCCAGGTGCTGCGACGCCTGAACGGCCGCGAGAGAGCGAGAGCGAGGGAGAGAGAGAGAGAGAGAGAGAAGGGGGGCGGGGGGGTCTTCACGGAGCGGCGCGTGGATCGGCAAAAAACAGGGGCCGGAGCTGCAAAGAATCTAGGAAGTCCCGTACATCAACCATCGGGCCCCGGCGGGGCCGGAGCTGGCATTCGAAGTATAAGTCGGCGCGATTGCACAGCGTCCGCGCCGCCGCCGTCTTCGCCGCGTCGTCGCCCTCGCGCAAGGCCCGGACCAGCCCTCGGAATTTGTTTCCCGCTGCTTCAAGACAATGTTGCACATTCAACCTGCGCGGCCGGTGTGATGCGCACTCCGTGAGAGCACCGCCGTCTCGCAGCTGTGAGACCTCCACACCGCTGCGCGCACGCAGCGCAGCGCAGGCCGGACACCATGGAAAGCGACGAGGAGAGCGTCGCGCGCGATTGCACTGCGTTTCTCCAGCAGAACACGTCGACACCGACGGAATCCGACACGACGGACGAGGAGGGCACGGAGCCGCTCCCCGACGCGAAGGAGGGCACGGAGCCGCGGCGCTCGTCCGGCGGCGCGGACCGCCCTGCCGCCGAGCCGCGGGCGCGTCCCGCCGAGCCGCGGGCGCGTCCGCCTGAGCCGCGGGCGCGTCCCGCCGAGCGTCCCGCCTCTCCCGCGCCGCGGGCGCCGAAGCGACGCCGCTTCGAGGCGCCCCCGGCGAACGCCGTGGTCATCGAGATCGGCGACAGTAGCGACGACGACGCGCCGCCGCCGAACCGGCCGCACGTCATAGACCTGACCTAAGGCGCGATCTCGCCGCCTCGTCCGCGACGACGACGGAGCCCGCGACCCGGCGTTGGTCGCGTCGTTCGTCGGCGACCTCGGGCGGGGGCGGCGCTCGCGTGCCGGGGGCCGGGCGCGCGCGGCCGCGGGGTCGTCGCCCCCGTCCGCGCGGGGCGGTCGGGGAGCTTAGGCGGCGCGCTACTCGCTCGCGAGCGCGCGGTGCGCGCGGCTCGGGGCGGGCGGCGACGGGAGGGAGCGGCTGGGGAGGTCCTCGGACGCGGCGGCGGCGGCCGGGAGGTGGCGCGCGGCGGGCACGGGCGCGCCCGGGGGCAGGTCCGGCGCGGCCCAGGCCGGCGGCGCGGCGCCGCGGCGCGGCTTCTTGGGGCCCGGCGACGGGATCGACGCCGGCGACGCGCGGCCCGGCGCCTCCGGTGCCGGCGCCGGCGCCGCGGCCGGCGCGCGCGCGCGCTTGCGGTGGAGCCGCGGCAGCACCCACTTGTGCACGAGCGCGTCCGAGTGCGACTGCGCGAGGGGCTTCGTGATGACGTCGTCGAAGGCGAGGGCGACGGCGTCGTCCTCCGCGAGGTCGAAGGCGGGCGCCGCCGTGCGGCCCGGCAGCGCCGACGCCGTCACGGCGACGAGCGGCGCCGTCGACCCCGCCCGGCGGAGCTCGCGCGCCGCGGACGCGCCGTCGAGGTTCGGCATGCGCAGGTCGAGCAGCACGAGGATGAAGCACGTGTCGCGGCGCGCGACGTCGTCGTGAACCGCGCGGACGGCCTCGACGCCGTCGCGCGCGATCTCGACGGAGACGCGCGCCGAGACGCCGAACGCGTCGAGCGACCGGCTCAGGCGCCTGGGCAGCACAAGGGTGATTCAACGTCGCTTCAACGTGAGTGTTCCGCGCGCGCGCGTTTCGAAAACAGCACCCACGCTTCGAGGGCGTTCCGAGAGATGATCGCTCGTCCAAAAATCAGCCGAAACGAGTGGAAAATGGCCGAGATATGAGCCTTTGAAGTTGGGAATTTCGCTCTCTTGTGCTGCCCTGTCAGGCGCCGCGCGTGGAGCGCGCACGTCGCCGCGGAGTCGTCGACGACGAGCACGGCGGGCGTGCGGCCCCGCGGCGCCAGGGGCGGCCCCCGCGCGTCCAGACCGTCGATGAGCCGGTCCAGCGCGCACGACGCCTCGCGCCGGTCGCCGTGCAGGAGGCCGAGCAGGCCCCGGAGGCCGCCGTCGCGGAGGCTCGCGCCGACGCGGTCGCCGTGCTCCGTGAGCAGCGCCGACAGGGGCCGCGTCGGGTTGATCTTGCAGGCCCCGAAGGGGAAGACGTGGCGCCACAAGAGCTCGTTCGCCGCCGTCGCCGACAGCGGCCGGCCGCCGGCCGCGTCGAGCGCGACGACGGCGCTCGGCGGCGCGGCGCCCGCGGCGGCCGCGGCCCGGATCCACCGGAGCTCGTCGTCGCGCGACGGCCGCGGCGACCCGGAGGACGACGTCGACGAGCAGCTCGAGCTCAGCGACGCGCTCGAGGACGTGTCGTCGCCCCGCCGGAAGACGGAGACGACGAGGCGGCACTTGGGCCGGAGGCGCTCGAGGAAGGCCGACGCCTCGGCGGCGCTCCCGGCCGCCTCGACGCGCACGGCCGCGCCGAGGCCCGACGCCTCGGCCGCGGCCCGGAGCGCGTCCGCGGCGAGCCGCCGGAGATTTCCGTCGGCGCCGACGACGACCGCGGTCGCGGTCGCCGCGAGGCAGCTCGAGCTCGAGCTCCGCCGCAGGCTCGTGACGCCCAGGGGCCGCGCCGCCCGGTCGAGCCGCAGCTGGTGGAGCATCTCGTCCGCGGACGCGTGCGCCGCGTCGAACGGCGAGAACGACCCCGCGCTCCCCGGCCGCGACGGCGTCGACGCGGCGGACTCGCGCTCGATGTCGACGCCGTCGTCGAACCCGCCGTCGGAGACGTCCTCCTGGTCCCAGAACATGGCGCGAGCGGGCGTACGGGGGCGAGAGCGGGTGCGCAGCTGCTCAACTTGACCTTGTTGACCTTGGCGTCGTGTCGAGCCGCTCGGAAGACGCTCGCGGCGGCGTGTTGAGTATATCTTCGTGTTGTGCGTTTAGTAATTGGCGAGGTGCGGCAGGCTAGCGTTCTGTGTTTTTAGCCGCGGAAGGGCGGTCGGTCGGCTTGAGCATGCTGCTCTCTCCCGATCACGCTCGTTCTATTTTGTGCTTTCTGTCACCCTTCAACAATCGAGCTTTTGTCCGAAGGTGCACCATGGACTTGTCACCACCGCTGCCCCGACTGTTCACGATGCAGCCTCCGTGAGATGGCCGCGACCTTCCTCGCCGAGGAGGGCGTCGAGGCCGCGGGCGAGGGCCGCTTCGAGGACGCGGCGTCGGCCTTCGAGCGGAGCCTGGACCTCGAGGACTGCGCGCTCACGCGCTGCAACCTCGGCGTGGCCTACGAGCGCCTGGGCCGCACGGCGGACGCCATCGAGGCCTACACGGCGGCGGCGGCCCTCGCGCCGGAGGACCCCGTGGCCCTCGTGAACCGCGGCGACGCGCTCGTGCGCGCGGGGCGCCTCGACGACGCGACGCGGGCCTACGTCGCGGCGCCGAGCCGCGCGGAACTCAAATCTTCAACCCGATTTCGATGTGATCGTATGCGGCCGTTTCGACGCACCTTGGTCTGAGCTCCGTAGAGAACTCGACGAGAGCCATCGATCCGTCCCAAAATCAGCCGAATCGACTTCGATGTGACCGAGCGAGAGATTTCCGAAGTTCGGCCCCGGCGTCCCGGCTCACCGGTTGATTTCCACGCAGGCCCTGAGCCTCGACGAGGGCCCCGCGGAGCCCTGGGCCGTCGTGAACAATTTGGGCGTCGCCTACGAGCGCCTGGGCCGGCTCGACCACGCCGTGCGCGCCTACCGGGAGGCCGCGCGGCTCCACCCGCGCTACGCGCTCCCGCGGGAGAACCTCCGGCGCGCGCGCGCGGCCGCGGCGGCGCGGGGCGACGCGGACGCGGCGCCGGCGGCGCCGGCGCGCGCCGCCGAGCCCGCCGGCGACGACGTCGCCCCGGGGCCCTTCGACGAGCTCTTCTTCGGCTGCGCGTGCCTCTGCGCGCCGGCCGCGTCGCCGGACCGGTGCCCGTCGAAGGCGCCGCCGACGCTCTGCTGCGCGGGCGGCGGCGCGCCGCCCGCGGCCCCGTCCTAACGCTTACGCCTTCTTCCGGCCGAAGGACGGCCGGTGCCTCGAGAGGGACGCGCCGAGGGACGAGAGGCGCGACTTGCGCTTCGGCTTCGCGGCGACGACGGCGTCCGCGTACTCGGCTCGGGGGAAGTCGTACGCGGCCGCGGCCTCCTCGAGGCAGACGCGCACGGGCTCGCCCTTGGGCAGCCGCTGGACGCAGCTCAGCGGCGACTCGCCGTTGACGTTCCGCTCCGTGAGCATGCGCTGGCGGACGTCGCCCTCGGAGGCGTAGGAGAGGATGAGCGCGATCGAGAGCGGGTCGCGCAGGGAGAGGGCGTAGAGCAGCACGTTGGAGCCGTCGAGCGTCGACGCCTTCTCGAGGTCGTCGAGCTCGAAGTACTTGAGCCGCTTGTTGAAGTCCGCCTCGTCGTCGCGGCCGCCGAGGGGCATGAGCTCGAGGAGCTCGGGGCACCACTCGACGCCGCTCGGCAGCTCGGGGATGCTCACGATCGGCCGGCGCTCCCGCGCGGCCTCGAGCTCGGGCTTCGCCGGGTCGCTCGGCCGCCGCGGGCTCGCGGCCTTGGCGGCGCCGCCGTGGGCCGCCTTCGCGGGGCCGCCCGCGGCGTGGCCGCCGGAGGTCCGCTTGCCTTTGGGTCCCGAGCTCCGGCGCCGGGCGTGGGCAACCGGGTGGTGGGGCGCCCGCTTCTTCCCCTTCGGGCTGTGCTGCGACTCGTGGTTGCAACAAAAAATATATTCGTAATTGTGCGACGCGCCGGCGTCCTCCGACCATTCCCGGGCCGATCCCTCGGCGTCGACGTCGACGGCGTGCCTCGTCGGATAATCGTCAGGCTCATCGCTGGGGTCCGCGAAACAGTTTCCGAAGTCCCAATGGAAGGCGGCCATGCTTCAGCCTTGTTTGAGGTTGGGGCAGCTTCTTGAAATTCTTGAACCTTAAATTCGGCTTATGAAACGGGTTTGCCCTCGCAGATGGTAGCAACATGCGGATCGAGGAAAAGAGCAACATGCGGATCGAGGAAAAGAGCCGCGGCCGCTTCCAGAACATCGACGTCGACGAGAACCGCGTCGCGTACACCTTCGTCTCGCCGCCGAAGCTCGCCCGCCGCTGCGAGCTCCGCATCGACGCAAATCTGTCGCCGGAGGCGCTCATCGAACGGTTGAGCTTCGTGCACGGCCTCGACGGCGCCGCCGACGACGGCGCGCCGCCGCCGCGGCCGCCCGGCGGCGACGGCGCGGCCGGCCCGTCGGCCCCGCCGCCCCCGCCGCGAGCCGTCGTCGACGACGACGAGGCGACGCCGCCCGAGGGACGCGACGACGAGACGCCGCCCGTCGACGACGACGAGGCGCGCGTCGAACGCTTCGACGAGACGCCGCCCGTCGACGACGACGAGGCGCGCGTCGAACGCTTCGACGAGGCGCCGACCGCCGACGACGACGAGGCGCGCGTCGAACGCTTCGACGAGACGCCGACCGCCGACGCGAGAGGACCGCCGCGCCGCGGCGCCGAAGCCGAGGGCGAGGCGCGCGCCGGCGTCGCGCGGTGCCAGGCCGCGTGGCGCGGCTTCGTCGCGCGGTCGCGGCGGCGGCGGCGGGCCGTGCGGCGCCTCGTCTTCGACGGCCTCTTCCGGCGGCCGCTGCGCCCGGCCGACGGCCCGGCGCCGGGCTTCCTGCTCTGCCGGCTGGCGCGCGTGCGCGCCGCGGCGGCGACGCGCTTCGAGCTCCGCCTCGAGGGCGCGGCGCGCCCCGTGCTCGTCGCGCGGCGCGGCGCGGGCTCCGGCGCGTTCGCCATCTTCGACGCGGCCGGGGGCCTCGCGGCGACGGTCGCCGGGCTGCCCTGGCCCGGCGCGGGCCGCGCGGCGGCGCTGCGCGACGCGACCGACGCGCTCCTCGCGACGCTGGGCCGGCCGCGGCGCGCGGCGCCGGGCTGGCGGCGGCGGCCGCGGGAGCTCGTCGGCGTCGCCGCGCGCGTCGACGGCGCGCGCGCCGCGCGCCTCGAGCAGCGCCGACCCGAGGCCGGGGGCGACGGGTCCTTCTCGCTCGCGTTCTACGGCGGCCGGTGCGGCCTCGCGAGCTCGAAGAACTTCGTCCTCGAGTCGCGGGGCCGGCCCGCGCTCCAGCTGGGCAAGGTGGGCCGGGACGCGTTCGTCCTCGACTTCGACCTGCCGCCGGTCGTCGCGCTGGGCCTCGCGCTCGCCCACGCGTTCGCCTAGGCCACCGCTTACGACGCCGGCGGCGACGGCCGCCGCCACGGGAGGAACTCCCGGCCGCCGCCCTCGTCCGCGGCCTCGTACGCGAGGTCGACGGCGGCCTTCGCCGGCGCGGTCGGCGGCGCGGGCCGGTCCGCCGGCGGCGGCGGCCGCGTCGCGCGCGGCGACGGCACGCGGCTGGGCTCGTCGCGCTCGTCGAGCGACCTGGGCAGCAAAAGGGTGCGAAATTCCCAACTTCAAAGGCTCCTCTCTCGGCCGTTTTCCACTCGTTTCGGCTGATTTTTGGACGAGCGATCATCTCTCGGAACGGTCTCGAAGCGTGGATGCTTTCCCCAGAACGCGCGCGCGCGGAACACTCACGTTGAAGCGACGTTGAATCACCCTTGTCCTGCCCTGCGAGCGACGGCCACGGCGCGCCCGGCCGCGACCTGCGCGGGTTCCGCGTCCGCGACCCGACTTCTACGCGCGCGCCGCCGGACGGTCCGGACCAGACGCTTCGGCCGCGCTTCGAGGCCTCGACGAGAGAACGCGACCCGTCCAACCATCGGCCCGATCGACGTCGACCGAGCGTCGAACGTCCGGCGACCCGACCGAACCGAACCGCGCGGGCCGCGACGACACGCGGTAGAGGTCGACGGTCGCCCGGCCGTCGCGCGGCGGCGGCGGCTCCCGCGGCGGCGGCGGCGGCGGCTCCTCGCCGCCCCGACCGAGCTCGGCCAGGCGCGCGTAGCGCCGCTGCAGCGGCGGCCCCCGGTCGTCGTCGACGTCGAAGCTGAGGGCCTTCTCGCGGGAGGGGCTCCCGCCGACCTTGAAGTCGCGCGCCACGGGGGACCGCGGGTCCTCGCCGGCGCAGACGTCCTCGTCGACGTCGTCGACGTCGAAGGAGCAGCTCGTCGGCCGCGTCGCGCGCGGCGGCGGCGGCGGCGGCGGCGGCGGGGCGCTCATGGCTCCGCCGCTCGTCGAGGCGGGCCCTCGGCGGAGGGTCCGCGCCGCGCGCCCGCGAGGTGCTCCCCCGGCGGGTCCTTCACACCACTCCGGGGACGATACGCCGACAACCTCTCCGGAAGCTCTCCATCGACGGGCCGGGGCTGCTGCTACAGTGCAGGCCAACATCAACTTTTCAGACGCATCAAATTATGTCCGCGCTCAGCCCGGCCTAGGCCGCGCCAGCCATGCTGGCCGAGGTGGCGTGGACGCGGGCGGCGCCGCCGGCGCTGCTCACGGACGCGTCGGGCATGGTGCTCTGGCTCTGGTACGAGGTCGCCGTCGGCATGAGCGTCGTCGTCGTCGTGCTGAGCGCCTACCTCGCGGCGCGGCGGGCGCCGCTCGTCGGCGGGGCCGCCGCGGGCCTCGGCCTCGTGACGCTCGCGCTGGCGCGGACGGCGTACTCGTACCGCTTCACGGCGGGCTGGGTCGACGTCGACGACGGCGGCTGGGAGGCGCTCCGCCGCGAGGCCCAAGCGGAGCGCGACGGCGCCGAGGCCGAGGACGCGCGGGACCTCGGCGGCGACGCGCCGGACGAGGCGGAGATCGCCGCGGCGCGCCGCGAGTCGTTCAAGGAGCACGCGTCGCGGCTCGCCGGCCTCGCGGCGTGCGCCGCGGCCGCGAGCTTCGGCCTGATCGCGTGCGCGGGCGCCGCGGCGGCCGGCCGCGCGTCGGGCGCGGCGCTCCTGCACGCCGCGGCCTGCGCGCTGCTCGGGGCCGCCGCCGCGACGCTGCCCCTCTTCGCGCACGGCGACCGCTGCGCGGCCGCGCTCGCGGCCGCGGGCGCCGCGCCCGCGGCCGTCGAGGTCTTCCGTTTGGCCTTCTACGCGGCGCTGCTGCCCTGGGCCGCCTGCGCGGGGCTCACGTTCGCGGCCACGGCCGCGGCGCGGTGCTGCCGGGCCGCGGACGCCGCGCTGCCCGTCGACGCGCGCCGCGCGGCCTACGCGTGCCGCCGGCGCCTCGAGGCCGTCGCGCGCGCGCGCGCGCCCGACGCCGACCGGCGGCGCTTCGAGGGCGACGCGGAGCCGGCGCCCGACGACGCCTTCGAGCCACCGGGCCCCGCGGCCGGCGACATCGAGGCCTACCTCGGCGCGTCGCTCCACGAGGCCGGCGACGCCGCGGAGCCGCCGCCGCGGCCGGAGTACGCGCGCGAGTCGCCCGGCTCCGGCTCCGACGCGTCCCTTGGCGGCCTCAGCGACGACTTCGACGACTTCGAGGACCGCGACTCCGGCGACCAGTACGACGACGACTTCCTCCCGCCGCCCCACGTCCTCTACGGCGCCGCGGCCGAGGCGGAGACCGTCTCCGCGGAGCGCAGGTTCGCGGCGCCGCCTTAAGGGTCGCACCTTCGCTTTCCGGTCCGAGGGGGCGTCCTCAGATCTCCGCGTCCGCCTTGCTTTCCTCGTCCGCGATCTTCGCCAGCTCGAGCTTGTCGACCTTGGCGGGCTCCGCGGCGCCGGTCGCGGTCCGCGCCCGCGCCCACGCGCAGGCGCCGGCGACGGCGGCGAGGAGGAGAGCCGCGCCGAGCGCGGCGGCGACGACGGCGACGAGGGGGAGGCCGCCGCCGCCGCTCCTCTTCGACGAGGCGCCCGCCGTCGGCGCGGCCGCCGGCGCGGCCGTCGGGCCCGGCGCGGGCGGCTCGTAGCAGGCGCCCGCGGGGTGCGTGAGGTTGACGGAGATCTTCCCGCGGTACTCGTGCATGCCGCGCGCCTTGAAGAGCGGGTCCGACGCGACGTTCGAGTCCTTGGACGTCGCCCAGATGAGGTCGACGCACTTGGTCGGGTCGACGGTCTCGTTGGCGTGGAAGACGGACCCGAGCGTGTAGGTCGCCGCGGTGTAGCACGCGCCCTCGGCGACGTCGAGCGCCGCGTCGCGCAGCGCCGCGCCCGAGGAGCTGCCGTACCAGTTGCGGAAGGAGCTCGAGGTCTCGCCGATGACGTACGTGTCGACCTCCTCGAGGCCCGCGGTCGCCGCGTCGGGGATGGCCATGACGATGGACGCGCCGTTCATGCCGTTGTGCTTGCCTCCCGGGTTCTCGAGGCCGACGGCCATCCAGCCGACGCGGCCGTCGACGACCTGCTTGAAGGTCACGGCGTCGCCGGCCACGGTCCAGGACAGCGAGCCCACGGTCTTGGGCACGAAGTAGGACTGCTCCCAGGCGCGGCCGCCGTAGACGAGGTCCACGGTGCCGTCGAAGGCCTCCGCCGCCGCCGCGACGGCGTCCGCGAAGCCGGCGCCGCAGTCGCCCTCGTCCGCGGGCGCGATGGACGGGAAGGCCGTCGCCTCGTGCGTGTAGGACGTGCACTGCGGGTAGTAGTCGCCGTGCTGCGCGCCGTCGCTCGGCTGGCGGAAGATGTCCGTGCAGTTGACGCGCGCGTAGCCCTGGTCCGCGCAGATGGCCTCGGAGACGGCCTCGCCGTCGTGGTTCACCAGGGGCATGCAGCGGTACCAGCAGTAGAGCTCGTCGCCGGCGCACTGGGCCGTCGACGCGAGCTCGCGGCGCACGGTCGTCTCCGCGCCGCCGGAGCAGCCGACGACGCCCGCGAGGTCGCCCGCGCCGCCGAGCCGGAGCCGGTCGCGGACCTCGCCGAAGGTCGCGGCGCCGCCGTGGAGCGGGCTCAGCGCGTCCCGGGGCGGCAGGACCATCAGGCCGTACCAGGACCGGTCCAGGCCGTCGAACATGGTCAACGCGTGCGGCGCCGCGCGGAGACCGAGCGCCGCGTCGTTGACGTACTGGTCGACGCCGTCGCCGAGCATGAAGTAGACGCAGTCGTCGCAGCCGTCGAGGTCCACGTCGGCGACGCTGCCGTCGCGGAGCTCGACGGAGAAGACGCCGCCGGGCGCGTCCTCGCCGACCGTGAGCGACGGCGTGAACGCGATGAAGAGGCCCTGGTCGACGTGGTGGTCGACGGCGGGCGCCGCGGCCTCGTCGGAGCCCGTGTCGCCCTCGCGGCGGTAGCTGTGGAAGTGCTCGAGGTGGTCGCCGCGCGCGACGACGTCGCCGACGGTCTCGTAGGTGGCCTCGCGGCCGGCGAGCAGCGGGCGGCGGTGTTCGCCGACGAGGCCGTCCAAGCGACCGCCAAAGGCGAGCGCCGTCTGGAAGACGGCGTCGCGCAGCGGCTCCGCCGAGACGTCCAGGGCCGCGCAGGACGTGTCAAGCGGCTGCAGGCCGTCCCTGGAGATGGAACCGGCAATGGATTTTCTCACCGTTCCGTCGGCCAGCTCGATTCCCTCCTTGTTCTTCTCGGCGCACTTGTGCGAGTCCAGCAAGGCGCGTCGGCGAATGTGGCCGAGGCCGGGCACTTCGACGGCGAGCAGGCCGACTTCCATCAGCGGATCGCTGAAGGCGAGCGTGTCCGCAGGGCCACGTTGCGTCGCCGACAACATCTCGACGTGCAGCTTGCGCGGCGTGTACGTCAAACTGCTGCATGTCGTTGTAGAGACGATGAGAGCAATGATGATGGAAGACATGGCTAGTTTGCGTGTGACTTGCTGATTGCGCGCTGGATG